CCCTTGGGGGCAAGTGATACTCCCCCCAGCGGCGTCGGCCCCCGGGTACATCTGTCCGACGTCAGTGCGTTGACGTCCCAGATAGCGGGCCTTCAGGATCTCGTTCGGCAGGGCTTCACCACTCACACTGCACACGTAGTTTGAACTGTTCAGGACCCAGGTGACCATCCTCGGTACTAACGTCGATGGCATGCCGAAAGAGTTTTCTATGGTGGTTGTTCGGGCGCGAGATCTGGCTATCAACCATGTAGTGATCGACGCAGATGCTAAGCTTGCGTCCGTGTCAGAGGACATCAAAGTTCAGTTGAATGACTTGAGGGCTGTGGTTGCCTCGGGTGCATCGACACGCGCCGACTCGGAGTTCGAGATCGTGGGAGGAGGGGAAAATTAGGTGGTCGTCAGAAGATTCAGAGGACGTCAGGAACTGACCGAACCAGTGCTACTCGTCTCATCGCGCTCGGGTTTGAGAAGCCACTCTTTGAGGCCTCGTTGAAAGATGCTGTCCAACCCATCATTGCGCAGAGCAGTCCAAGGGGAGGAGCCTATCGGGCGAGTATGCTCCCTGACTCGGAAGGTGAATCTCGACTTCCCATCCACCCTTGCGCGTTCCGCTTTCTTCTTCGGGAAAAGCCAGGGCATCGGGAAGACAGCTCACCAGAACCTCATCGACGATCGTGGCTGGGAGTTTCGCGTACGTCGTGACCTTTCCCCGGCCCAGTCGGCAGCTCGTCCACTACGTCGGTCGGACCAGAATTTCCGCCGGCGGAGTGCTAGGTGAGTGCCAGGGCAGGAGCAATGGGTTCGGATGGCAGGGCTACGGTCTCCTCACCTTTGCGCACCCAGTCGCGGCGGCGACGGTCACGATCTCTGAGTGGAGTGTGGTGTACCAGGTCTCCTGCCTGACCCCAGCGGTCTGAGTTCTGTTGGTAGAAAAAGCCCATGCGGGTTGCACCCAGATGCTCTTTGATCAAATTCGCCCACTTGTGTGAAGGACCCAGTTGCCCAGGAACTCTCACCCTCGGGACCTCAGGCGCTCCGTCGGGCATGTTTTTGTTTGTGCTCTCCGAGGGACCCTGGACGATGGATCCTGCTTCATTGGATGAGGAGGAGGAGGAGAAGGAGAAAGACGAGGGAGAAGAAAAAGGAGGACGAGTAGGAGGAGGAGGACGACGACGAAGAGGAGGAGGAGGAGCGAGGTGCGAGGAGGAGCAACGAGGAGCGAGGTGGAAGGAGCGAGGAGGAGGAGGAGGAGAAGGAGGAGGAGGACGAGGAGGACGAGGAGGACGACGACGAAGAGGAGGAGGAGGAGGACGAGGAGGAGGAGGAGGAGGAGAAGGAGGAAGAAGGGGAGGAGAAGGAGGTGACGGAGGCGCGAGGAGGTGAAGGAGGAGCCGTCTCGCCATCCCTCCAGCCTGCGCTGCCCCGAGGTATGCGCAAGAAGTCTGTCCCCGCGGACTTCTCCTGGGGCCACCTCGAGGCCATCAAGGCCAACAGCAGCGACCAGGGTGCCCACTGGTATAACCGCTCTCCTCCTCCTCCTCCTCCTCCTCCTCCTCGTCATCATCATCATCATCATCATCATCATCATCATCATCATCATCATCAGCATCAGCATCAGCATCAGCATCGCATCAGCATCATCATCATCTCATCATCATCATCATCAGTGTCTCCTCTTCTGCCTCCTCCTCCTCCTTCTTTTCTCCTCTCCTCTTCCTCTTCTCCTCCTCCTCCTCCCCTCCTCTCCTCCTCCTCCTCCCCTCCTCCCTCCCCATCCTCCTCTCCCCTCTCCTCCTCTCCTCTCCCTCCTCCTCCTCCTCTCCTCCTCCTCCTCCTCCTCCTCCTCCTCCTCAGCCTCCTCCTCCTCCGCCTCCTCCTCCTGCCCTTGTTTCTCCCTCTCCTCCTCCGCCTCCTCGTCCTCTTCTGGGAGGCCCTGCCGGAGCCGGGGCGTCCTGCGTCTCTTTCAGCCTGGGCCCCAGCGGACATGCCTGCCGAGCGCGCCTGTGTCGGCCGAGACTGGAGCCCTTTAGGGGGCAGCCAAGAGGGCATCGTTCGGTGGCGAATTCCGAGCGCTAATTACCCTCGCCGATCGTCGACTCTAGCTCGATGGGCGGCTGGGGCAGGGTTCGGAATGCGTCGAGCACGCAGCGAAATCCGAACCCTGCTCTGGAGGGGCAAATACACACAGACACAATTAATCTTCGATTCCCCGGATTTCGATTCCCGGGAAAAGGTTCGAACATATGGGACGTGGGGAGGAAGCCGAACGCCCAGAATCGATGGGGAAAAAGCAGGTGTAGGGGGAGTCTTGGGATGTGTGTCTGTGTACTTGTGCGTCCCTGGGCCCCTTCACCTACCCCCACTACGGTTGACAGTGTTTGACTATGCCTCGTCTGTCTTCCAAAATCCCCCTGTGGGAGGACGTGCCCGACCCAAGAGAGGGCTCGGCGAGCTTCCCGGGAGGCCAGAGGCCTCACGAGCCTCCCGGGAAGGCCCGCCCCCTCGGCCTCCCCCCTGGGCGCTCCGCCGATAGGCGCGGGGACCATACCTCGGGGGTGGACAGAACCCCCAACAGTGACACGTCGATTAGTGAATTGTCCGTTTTCGGTTCTCGAGATGGCGCCGTGGCCGTTATCTTTCAGGCCTGCGCCCGCCAGGTTTGGGCCCCAGGCCGTTTTCACTAAACCACGTTTTACTAAAGGGGGGTCTGTCCATCCCCGAATACCGCGTGACGAGTCAGTGGGGACTTGGGGTCACCGCACGGGGTTGGGCCTTGGGCCGTGCAGCGAGTTCTTGGAGGATTCCGAGGTCACCGCCCAGTCTGGTCGCCGCACCGTTTTGGGACTCCCAGCCTGGCCCTTCCAGAGGCCGCCGGCGTCGAGAGTTTCTTCCCGCGCGCAAGGATCTCTCGACCCAGTCCCAGGGACGGGATTTTCATTCCGAGTCGTTGTTTGATGGCCTTGGCTCCCGCAAATCTTCATTACCCCCACGCCGAGGTGGCTCGTGGTGAGCTTGATGCTCGCCTCTTGCGGAGGAGGAGGAGGAGGAGGAGGACGAGGAGAAGGAGGAGGAGGGAGGAGGAGGAGGAGGAGGTGGAGGAGGAGGAGGAGGAGGAGGGTGACGACGACGAAAATAAGGGTGGTGAAGAAAAAGAGAAGAGGCGGCGCAGAGGGGAAGAGAGGGATAGGGGCAGGAGAGTGGAGGATGAGGAGGAGGAGGAGGAGGAGAAAAAGCCACGCGGAGGGAGCGGGAGGGGGGGAGGAGGAAGAAGAGGGGGGCAATCGACGCGGGGGTGGCAGGATTATATGCTAAGCACCTCCGGCATGCGATGCACTTCTGGGGTGGGCTCGGCGCATATTTTCACCGAGCCCGTTCCACTACTCGCAAAGTGCCAACTCGCAAACGTCAGAAAAGCACATGACTGCCTCGACTTACTGGATCGTGAATCACCCGCGGCGTGTCCAGGCCATTTACGAGTAGCTCCAGTTTGCGAGTAGTGGAACGCGCTTGATTATATACTGTCTTACATGTAAAATGATCGCACGCCCACCCCGCCCACAACAAGAGCATGCGGCCCCATTTGGGGGGTACTACTTCAACGAAGCGCATGTTCAGTGCAATGCAAGGATATGCCATGCCATGCCAAACAACGCCTTATGCTGTAACTCGTCCATTGCATTGCATTGAAACGCGCATCGCTGTGCCGCCTATCATACCATGACATGCCAGTGTTGCATACCAGTGGCCATCTTAGCATGACATGGCATGACCCAGCATAGCAAAACATAGCATTGTGCCGCATCGCAGATCGTTGCGTAGCATTGCGTAGCATCACACACACACACCAGTGCGTGCGCAACACATGGCATGACATGCGACTGCATTGAACATCGCCGTACTGTACACCAGAGCAGAATGGTACAGCATTGTACAACACATAATGGCATGGCATCACCTGGTTCTACATCACCCAGCGTAGCATGACGTACAACAGCGCATCGTGTCATGGCATGTGAACGCATGGGAACGTACGTCGTAACATGGCACAGCACACTATGCAGCAGTACAGCATACCATGGCGTATCGTAGCCTACCACTGTGTCAAGGTATATAGCATTACGTACAAGTGCATAGCATGGCATAGACTTGTGTTGCATGACATACCACGGTGTACCGTGTCATGGTTCAGCATGGTTTTTCAGTGCGGTGCATGGGATTGTCTAGTGACATCAGCAAGGTCGTAACAACACCTCGCATAGCAGTTCATAGCATGATATGGCGGCGTGCGCATGGCATGACATGGCATAGCGTAGCAGTTCACTCGGGACCTCGGCTGGCGGTGGATACGGAATTGTTTGGGCCATGGGGGGCCATTGTACCCATATCCACCGCTTGTCGAGTTCTCCGAATATCGATCACTCAGGCGATAGTGATGGATAATTCCCCGCCTCGCACTACCCCCATGCTGAGGACAGACCTGACGCTCCCCCTCGGGGTGTTGGTTGTTCATTTGTATTATGTGCAATCGCTCGCCCTGCGCATGAAAGTATACAACCCGATCTAAACAAATGTCAGCTCCCTCTCACCCCTGTCAAATACTCTCATGCAGGGCACGCGCGTTGATCCAATACACGCTTGTTTGAAATACTACCGATCGGCGAATACACTGCGTGCCACACGCACGCGCGCACCCTCCGCACGTGCACGCGGAAATCATTACAGAGCTGTTTGATTCCAGGCAGTTCAACACAGAGCGGCTTATCACAGAGGAAACACATCTGACTTTCAGCACATCACCAAGGGGCAGACCAAGGGGCAGACCAAGATAATTTGCAACAGCGGGATCACTCGACGAGGAACGCGATCTCCCCGGCATGCTTCGCCGGAGGGTTCGGTGTTGCACGCCGGAGTGAATGCACAGGAAGTAACACGAAAGGCATGCGACCATTATCACATACACGTTTATTTCGGGCCCGCGCAGCGCCGCGCTCCACTGGGCCTCCCAGGAGATCACGCACGTGGCGAATGTAGCGCGGTTGGTAGCTTCTCAGGGGGAGCGCAACGTCTCGTGTGGGTGTGCGTGGGACCACCCCCCCTGCTGGGCCTCCCAGGAACCCACGAAAGTGGCGACTGTTGCGCAGTCATTGGCTACCCGATGGAGCGCGGGGTCCCGTCTGGGTCTGCGTGGAACCGCGTTCCGCTGGTAGGGTCGGAGGGCACCAACTATACACCAACACCGATCCTGGCCCAGGATCACCCTGGGCCCATGATCGGTGTATATGCCTTCTTGCCCAAGGCAGGAGGGCGTATACACCGATCCTGGGCCCAGGGTGATCCTGGGCCAGGATCGGTGTTGGTGTATAGTTGGTGCCTTCCTATAGGGGGCCCACGAACGTTGCGACGGGTGCGCAGCTGGCAGCCCCCCAAGGCAGCCGCGACGCTTTGGCTGGGTATGCGTGTCCCTCTGCCCCGCTGGACCTTCCAGGGGCCCTCGAGGCAGCGACGGCCTCCCAAGGGGAGAGACGCCATGCCTCGCCCAGATCCGCACGTCCTTCCGCTCCGCCTGACCGCCCGGGCGACAGCTGCGCAGTTGGCCGTCCCCCAGGGGAGCCGCAGGGTCTCATCCGGGCCCGCGTGTCTCTCCGCTCTGCTGGACCCCCCAAGGAGCCCACGAGATCGGCGACGGTTGCGCACTTACCCGCGGTGTCTCGGTGTCTCGTCTGGGTCCGCGTGCCGCTCCACTCCGCTGGACCTCCCCGGAGCTCACGGAAGTGGTGACAGTTGCGCGGCTGGCCAGAAAGGAGCAGGAGGAGGGGGAGAAGTAGGAGAAGGACGGAGATCAGCGGTGCCTCACTCAAAGCGAGGACCCATCCAGAGGCAAAGTTTCTGAAACATTGCTCTTCTTTTTGCGTGCGCACATTTGCCACACTCATTCGTCGTCGTCCATATCGTTATCGCGGTCGTCGCCCTCGTCGCCGTCGTCGCCGCTTTCGGGCCTCGTTGTTTCCATCCAGTAAGCCGTCCTTGAGCAGGCCAAGCTGAATACGAAAGTGGCGACGGTCGCGCAGACGGCAGTCGAGCCCCCAGGGACCCGCGAAGTCTCGCTTGAGTGTGCGTGACTGCCCACTCCGCCGGACCTCCCATGAGCATGCGACACTTGCTCAGTTCGAACCCCCCCGAGGGACCCGCGAGGTCGCTCTAGGCGTGCGTGATTACACAGGACCTCCCATGAGCCCACGAAGGAGGCGACCGCTGTGCAGTTGGCAGCCCCCCAGTGAGCCGCGAGCTCTCGCGCGGGTGTGCGTATCTACCCATTATGCTGGACATCCCAGCAGCCTGCGAACATGTCGACGATTGCGCATGTGGCAGCACCCGACGGAACCGCGAGGTCCCGCCTGGATGCGCGTGGCCCAGCACTCCGCTGGATCTCCCAGAACCCCACGAAAGTGACGACAGATGCGCAGTTGGCAAACCCCCGAAGGGGGCCGCGATATTCTGTCTGGGTGGACGTGGCTACCAATTCCGTTGGAACTCTCAGGACCCACGACGGTGGCGACACTTACGTGGTTTTCACACGCACACACACACACACACACACACACACACACACACACACACACACACGCCCCAAGGAGCCACAAGGTCCTGGTTGCGTGTGCGCGACTACCCACTCCACTGGACCTCCCAGGAGCCCACGGAAGTGGCGACAATTGCGCAGGCAGCGACCTCTGACCGGGAACAGGCAGGAGGTGGGACGCGGCCCAGGCAGGAGGGAAGAAGCGTGGGAAGACGGGAAGAGGAGAACGAGGAGACGCGCGGTCACTGCTCGATCCACAACGGGACCCGACGCAAAAGGTTTGGGAATACAGCAGGGTGCAAGAGGTAGGGAGCGAGGAGGAGGAGAATAGAGATCACAGTGTGTCATTCAAAACGAGAGTCCGACACAGGAGGCTTGGGGAAACAATTCAGGTACATGGTAGCACCTGGCTCTTTTGTCTGTCTTTATGTTTATATGTACATGTGTATGCCCACAAATACTGCTGTTCGGGACACATGCATGCGCTCCCGCGCGCGCAAGTCGAACACGTTCAACAACTATGTTTGGCGAAGCGTGTCAAGATAAAGTTGCCAGCGCACATAGATGTATGCAAATACGCATATGGACAAACTCAACACCAAAGGGATCTATGCCATCTTTCTCCCGACGTCGTTGCCACTCGCTCGCCCAGCCCACGGAGTTGCATGGAGGAGGTTCCGCGCGCCATCGTACTTGCTGGGGCCTCGCAAGTTAGGCCCGGAACGTAGCTGCACCCGCGGCCTCGTGAGTATAGCCGATCAGCGGCGGATGGGTGGGTGGCAGGTTCGTTTGAGCAGTGGGTGGTTTGGCCATGTACGCATACGATTGCCCAGGCCATGGGCACATGATGCTTCGGGCGGGACGACGTTTTGATAGTCTGGTTGATTCGTTTACGGCTGACAATGTAGCTTTGGAGTGGTCTC